GTAGAACATGAACCGCGCTCGGCCCATGGCCGCGCGGTTAATAATCTTAATGTTCTTAGCTCCTTAGTTCCTCGACGAAACGTGTTAAAATAAATGATTGATTGATTAGTACGTATAAATCTACTAGTCGTTTTTATTTCTTGAATTTTGTACCATTTGGCTTTCCATACACGGAAGCCGCCGACAAGATCCATGGAAACTATTCGATGGCCTGTAAAATGTAACGTCATAAAAATATATTATTAGCTTATGAAAGATGAAATGAAGCATGTAAACGTACACCATATAGACGAGCAGAGCTGGAACAAAACCGGCCGAATACCATGCCAGTCATTGATAGGAACATTTGAAACAGACTGGAAAATGAAAGCGAATCATCATATAGTCTTCATTCCTTCATCTATGTGGAAGCCAAAATGTGCAATAGTTGTACTGCTTCTAATTCTAGGTTTCGAACTTGGGACTTTTATCAAATTTGACGCGTTGGCATTCTCTATATCCAAGGGACAGCAAATCCTTGCTCGATTTGCAAGGCAAGGGCCGAATGATCCGCAAAAAGCAACTATAACTTTGGCAAAGAGAGGGCATTTAAACTTGCATCTGTTTACTGAGACATGTGCAGCAGATTTGAACATTCTGTGTAATTTTCCAATGTTTCCTAAAGCCCCGGATAATAGGCTTTTATTAAACACGACAAAACTTACCAAAGGCTCAACCGGAGTAGGGGCCGGTATAAGACTGTTTGGATACATCACCCCAGCCAAATCTGGCTTGCACATGTTCACCGTAAAATTTTGTCAGGCTGAAGTTTGGCTCAGTCACAACGAGAATTTGAAACATTTAAGAAAGATATCGGACACTGGAAATTTCTCAAAACAGGAAATCGGACTGATAGCTGGACAGAATTATTTTATCGAAGTCGTGGCTACTTGTTTTCGTCAACGAAACCAAATTCAACTTCTGTGGAAGACTCCAGTGAGCTCAGTCTTTGAAATCATCAATGGAACTTTTTTAACTCCCTTTGTGGACGACAGTGGCTTGAATTCCAAGATCTACGATGGATTACTGCCAGATTCTTCTGTTTGCACTTCAAGGAGGTATAAAACTACATATTTCCAAGTTCATCAGGAAATAAGCTATTTATCGCACGATGAAGTGCAAGATATCTTACCGTACTGTGACTACAATCCAAGTTATACTGTCAAGAAAAGAATAAAACACTATCAAGCGATAAGTCGTTATCATGTTGGCACATTTGTTTACCCTTTTCCTGACGATAAAAACCTTAAAAATGCGAATGATTGTCCACTCAACAAAGACGAAGCCTTGGAAGTTGTGCGTATTTTTATGGAATCGTTTGAGGAGAAAATGTTAGGGTAGGTGAAGTCATCTGTGGTAGATTTTATATATCTTATTAATAATTTCTCCACACTGAGCGTTGTCTTTCCAACGGTGAACTTATTGCATTTTGAAAATATAAAATCCGCTTTTTTTTAAAAAAGTATGTACCATGCTTTTGTTGTGTCAAACTCTGACTGTCCCTATTTGTTTCGTGGCTTCTTTACACTTGCTGTATGAAAAGAAATTGGACACGATTTTGGACCCATATGTATGTGAGTAAATTAAAATCGGCGGTTTGTATAACCTTGGGTAAATTTAGCTGTTATAAATTGCAGGCAACTAACTTTTTTTAAATTACTTTTTTAATAAAAAATAAAAATAAAAAAGCAAACAACTTAGATAGTTTTAAGCCTGCGAAAAAAATATTTTCTTGACAACATAGGCAGAATGTATAATGTTTGTCCAAGCCTTATATTTCACGTCTTTCACACAAACATGACAATCAAAGTGTTAATGAAAATTCAAAATCGTCAAAATAAATAATGAATTGAGAGAAATGAAAAGCTTGACTTCTGGCAACTAAGTTCGAAGTGGTGATATCACTTAACCGGAAAGATTAATGTTTGTCTTAAAAAATCGAAGACGGCGTCCACAATTCATTAAGCACTTTTTTTTTTTGAATTAGCTGAGAGTTTCTTGGTAACCATTTCGTGTTCTGTATAATGTGACGTGATCATATCCGAACATTTAAGATTCAAAAGGTGTGACTGAGCAAACAGAGAAAGACATATTCCAATTCTGACCGGCTGAAATTGTACTGCTTCTGCTGCTCTTTCGAAAAAGCACTTTTCGCGGTTAACGTTTGTCGTTTGCAATGCAGTGCTAGTATAATCAAACTTGTTTGCGAGTCAATGTCGGGTAATTTCGTGTATTCTGCCCGAAATTGCCTCGTGTCCACTTTATTTTCCTTTGTTATGTAAATGAGGAAAGTTAATAACAAAAAGGGCTGAAACTGGTCGAATTGGCAGCTTCAATATCCAAACAGGAAATCCCTGCTGAAAGTACAAAACGAAACGTGGCTAATTTGAATGAAATGACGTGACAAAGACAAACAGATTTGGATCAATAAAAACAAATCTGGATGATAAAAAATGTAAACTACATGAGAAAGAAGTCACAAAGAACTCAACAAAAGGCAGGTAACGGTTAAGGCTACTTGGGCTTATTATCCCAAACAAATCTGGCCTAAATGTCTTCACTGTTACTGAGTTTGCCAGTCTGCCGAAGCTTGGCTTAGTGTTAGCAACGAAAACTGGAGCAACACAAGGGAGGTATGGGAACGATTATGGAGTTATTGACGAGAGCGGACTGACAGCTTGAAATAAGCATAATGATGATGATGATGATGATGATAAAGACATGTATGGCGCAAATGTGACTTACAAAATGATAGAAAATAATAAATTAAAAATAAATAGATAAATAATAATCGTGACTACTTGCTGTTTCGTCTACGAACCGAAATTCAACCTTTGCGTGCGGAAAACTCCAGTGAAAACCTTGATGAGGAACGCAACTACGAATTTCAACGCCAACGGGGAAAAAGCTATTTTTCATACGAAGTTTAACTTCTGATAAGTTTCCCTGAAAATGTGATGGTTTTGCAGGCAACAATATAACTACAGTCTCTCTAAGGAAACTTCCTGTTGATTCTAGAGTCACATGTCCAGAGAAATGAAATTCATAAATTCGCCATTGATAACGGCAAGCATATATGACTGGATTTACGAAAACCGTGTCACTACTTTGAACCAAATCACCCAAATGCACTTTGATTTAACGATTCTTGAAGGCCTTTTAAAAATTTGCTCCAAGCGATAAAAAATAAACAATAAAAAAAAAAAACATAGCGAGAGAGGAACAGGAAAAGGAAGATAAGAGAGTGGCGAAAAAACAGACTGACATTGCCGGCTTATGATTTTTATATCAGTTCTACTCCGTTTGAGCAGGGTGCGATTTCTATAACACTGTTTTCATAACTACAGACATATATATATATAAGGAAATAGAATTTATATATATATATATATATATATATATATATATACTTATTTGATGAAACATGTTTATCTGTATAACTCCATCTTACTTATGTTTGCTTTTCCTACGCAGAAAATTTGTGCTAAATGAAATACGAAATGTTGAACGGAAGACCGATAAGGAGAGGGGCGAGCGATACCTGATAGAGCTCGAACTGGTGGACTTAAAAAACAACAGAAAAGTCATGCTCTCTGAATACGTTTTCATGCCGAATGGAACAAAGGAACTTTGTTACCCCAAACACATTCAGTGGAACAGAACAGTGGATGTTTATCTTATAGTTACAGCCAAAAATCTTGGAAGATGGGTTCACCACTTTATTAAAAACGTGGAAAAGATTTTGAAGGAAACCAACGACTCCAATCTTCATGTTATAATTTACGATTACAACAGTTCAGATATCAACTTGAAAAAGGTGTTAAGGGAGAGTTCTCTGAAAAGTTACATGTTTTTGATTGAAAGTGGTGAATATTCACGGACGCATTCGTTTACCGAGGCTATAAATCTGGTATCGGACCCTCACAGTATTATAGTCATGTTGGATCTCCATCTGGATGTTGCAACTCCATTCATTAATGACATTAGAAAAGTAAGTTTACTTGATAATGTTTTTATTTTTTTTCTGTGTGTTCACCAAACTATTTCTAGTTTGTCATGAAAAAGGATCTTGCTTTGTCTTATTATGGGACACCCAAACTAAAACCAAGCAGTATTTTTCGAGAAAAACTTAAATTGTTGACCGTGAAGTATCTCGCACCCAGAGCCCCGACAATGCGCGGGCCATTTAGTCAAGCGAGGTCTCCGTCCACCCTTTTTCCCTCCGCCATTCATTGCGTTTGACTAAACGGCTTAAAAGGGCTCGAAGAAATATGTGTACATTTAATGACCAAAGCAGCAATTTGCCTCTAAAATTCTCTGAAATAACAAAAGAGATCACTGATGATTGTTCTATCATCTTTTTCATACTTTCTTAAGTTTTCTCATTAATCTATCCATTTTAGCTTTTCTAAAATCAAAAATAATCCTGTAATGAGACGTGTAGTGAAACATACCGCTGCATCACGTCTTTCAGGGGGTCTTCATGAAGGGGAAAGAAAGACTGGCCCCGGAATATAAGTAGAATTGAAATCAACAAAAATAACGATTTAAAATAAGATAAGGTTATTAGCAGATAAACACCAAAATAGATTGCCACAAAGTAGTTCCGTGTGCGTGGCCTATTTCGCGATGTCTATGTTTTTCTTTATTTTTATAAATTCTCTTTCATTTTGCTCATTTTTCGTTTTTTTGTTCTCGCCCCTTTGGGGCTCGTAAAACTACTACGCCACTCGCAAAATATCCGCACTTATTATATGTTAAAACATCAAGTAGAGTGTATGTATCGTGTCAGAAGTTTTCATGTAGGTTATAATTATTTTCTTACAATTTGTTTGTAGCATTGTATCGAGGGTCGCATGGTCTTCACGCCAATTATTGCCCAGATGAAATGTGGTGCAAACCCGACCAAATTAGCAGGACTGTGGCAGGTGTACGGATATGGTATAATAGCAATGTACAAATCAGATTGGGACAGATCAGGGGGATTCCCCAATGATAAAAGGAAATGGGGTGGAGAGGACTGGGAACTAATGGACCAGTTGGTCGGCGTGGGACTGGAGTTTGAACGCATGCGCACAACCCATGTGTATCACTATTATCATTCCAAGAAAGGATTGTGGAGCAACGCGGCCTAATAAGGCAAATAAATTAGTTTCTTCGATACATGCGACTCTGCAGGACTAATCGACTTTTGACTCTCAGAATCGGCTTGGCTGCAGTAGGATCTGATTTAAACAAAATTTGAACGTAACACTAGCCGCTTCGGATTGGGTTTCGTGCATGGGCGGATCCAGGATTTTTCAAGGGAGGGAGGGGTGGCTAATACTTTGGGGGTGCAGAATCAATGGAACATGCCCCCAAAATGTTGCAATTTGAAAACTTATTTAAAACTGTTACACTAGAAATACTAGCCATGCCACAAACTAGAAAATACGATGAGGTACATGTCCCGAGTATTTGCCTTTATTTCTGCCAAAATATTTTCCAACTTCTTATTTTTTTTATTCATTTTTGCTTCACCAAGAGCTAGCCACCCAGTCCACCCTCTCTAAGTCCGCCTCTGTCGTTGTCATATTAGATTATACATAAGATATTAAATTGAAAGTTAATCTTATCTTAGTTGTGGTGTCTTTGCCTTGCTTTTCGTTATTTGGTCTATTTTCTATGAAGAAAATTTATTGGAACAGTACTCTTAATGGAAAAAAGTATGCTTTGTTTCACAGAGTGACAAAGACAGTTCACGGATAAACACTTATCTGACCCTGAGAGAAAAGACCGGCTGCTGGTCGACATATTTACCAAAAGGAAGACATAATCGATTCGTGTGGACGGTCTGCGTAATAGCACGTGTGAAAACAGTACAGCCAATCGCCGGGCAGTTTCGAGAGCTAGAGACACCCGGAAGATATCCCTATTCCCGTCCCGTAACAGGCCACCCAAACATTCTAGCCTTACCGCTATTGTAGAAAGCTAATCAATAATGGGAAAATGACGAAAACAGTCATAAGAAGTCGCAGGCCTACTTTCGGGTAACATTGAATTGTTCCATGTACTAAAAGTATTTCTCGAGTTTTCTGTCTTTGAACATAGCTTTGATTTTATGATTGTCTCCGCATAAATATTCCGTTGATTGAAGATAAGCTAAAAAATTAAAGCCTTGAATGGAGACTTACGAAAATCTACCTAAAACGTACTGTTGTTGCAATGACGTGATGTCACAACCGGTTGAGTATCCCATCATGCACTAAAGGAAAAATCTAAGATCAAGTGTCCAGAAGCATGATGTCTTCGAAAATATGGCGGGTGTTTATATGAAGTCTCTTACAAGGTGAGACATTTTGGCGTTTTTCTGTTTTTGTTTGTTTTTCTGCGGCTTGTTCTTAAGTTATCATGAGTAAGATTTATTCCTTCATATTGAAAAGATAGTTGTAGAAGTAAATACAGCGGAAGGAAATGTTTTTAGAAGGTTTATTTGAGCACATGGCAATATATCAGCTTATAAAACTTCGTAAGGGCTTCAATACCACAGCTAGTATTTTTTGTAGGTCTAAGCTTCTAAATCACTAGGTTGGTCTTCCTAACAAATAGCGTCCAAGAGCAAATAGTTGTGCATCTTTTTGAACCCAGTTGGAAGCTAAATTGTAGGGCTTTCATTAACGTTTTCAGCAGGTTTCCACAGGCGGGCAAAACGTTTTGAACTGAACTTCTTGACTTTATAAGAAAAACTTTCCTCTAGATGGTCAAACCAGGCAGGCCAAATCATCCTCACAGCTGGTCAATTTGCCTATTGCCTGGCCCTTAATGACACTCCCTGTAAATTGTTGATGTTATCCTTCTAGTCAAATATTAATACAAATCCCTGAATGCAGGTCCAGTTTTAGCCCTACATTGTATTAATAATATTATTATATGGCTAGCTCCCTGAGCAGGCAAGATTAACCAAATCCTGCACTGTGATTGGCTACCCCAGCAGGCAAGATGGCACTTCTTGCCACTCAGGGTTCAAGTACTGTGTCCCACAAGAAAACATTGTTCTTTATCCCATATAACTATTCCTATATTGACCAAGCTTTTTTGATCAAGATAACTGAATATTAGCCTCGTCCTTTTCTTTTTTTGCATGTTTATGGACTTGACTCTGTTTTGGTCCATTAACATGTAAAAGAAAAATAACTCAGCCAATATCTGACAATCTTGACCTCAGGCTTGGTCATTAACCCATATACATGTATAATTGGACTAACTGGAGCACAATTTAGGGGGTAGTCGGGTGAGTAATTTCAAATTGAACAAGCATGCAGAATGAGGCCGATTACTAATAATCCATCAATGTGTAGTTCCAGAAAATATCCATACTTCCCCCACAGAAGGGTTTTTT